GACTTAGGATCACTAGGCTTGTGTATTTTATTTTCGGTATTTTTATTTTTATCAACTTACGTGGACTCCGTGTAACCAACGTTCGCTTGTTCTTTCGTTTGTTGCATTTTCAATATTTGTTCGAATATATTAGTTTTATTTCTTGCAATCAATCTCAAATCATCTTGATAGTATGTTTAGGATTTTATTTTCGGTCTTGTGAAATCGACGACTAGATAGTTAACGATGCTCCGAACAGTCTTCCTTTGAGAACGACCCGAGTCCGGATAGCTCGGTTACTAAATTATCCACTCACAAAAAATACTACAAACATGGGGTACATGCCATTTTTTTTTGTCCATGTTTTTTTAATAAGTATCTTGATAATTGAAAACTCAAAAGAGTACATTTTAAGTTCACACACAACTGACATCAGAATAAAATCTGAAGTACCCCTGGAAAAATATAGGCTATCAAGTGGGTAGAAACTCTCTAAATGCGACACAAGCACCCGCAAAACGAAAGATCTACAAAGTGGGTACAAATAGGGATGTGAACAAATCAAAATTTTTCATTTGAACCGTTATTCGAATTCAGTATTCGTGATTTATTGTCGAAAATTTTGAATTCAAATTGAAATAAGTATAGTGGCACATCAAAACCTACTAACCGGCTAGAATTGGCTCGCTCGAATGAGAATAGTGGTACGTCCACCAAAACACCGTAAACGAGAATCAAAAGCGCGGACCCACCGCCAGGATAAAAAAACGAGACGATAACCTATTCCGGAAAGTAGAGCCCCACCTCCCCAATCGAGACCGTCGAAGTTCTAAAAATGATGAACTTAAGAACAAAAGCTTAAATCCTAAACCCTAACAACACAGAAATTGAGAATTCTCGTGAAGAATCGGGTAGAGCCAAGAGAGGCGGCGAGCATTTAACGCCCCATTGTCTTTAAAGGAAAATTCTCAATCTATATATAAATATATACTAGAAACCTACTCACTGTGCTTAGCACAGCCGGCCCAGACGCTTTATATTTTGTATCGAAAAGAGTTATTTGTTATGTGTAATTGTTTGATCAATGGTCGGGCTTGAATCGTCACATTCATGAGGTAAACCTTGAACCCGATGAATCCATTAAAAAAAATAATACCCAGAATCTTTTATTATAAGTGTGATTATGCAGCCATATATTTGAGCGGACGCTGAAAAGGTAAAAGGACCTTCTGGAAGTAGGCCCTAATTTTAGCGTCAAGAAATTCTTAAATCACGTGCGCAACTGAAAGAAGAAGAAGAAAAGCCCTAATTATTTACCAACCCATTAATCAACTTAATTTCAGAATAAATTAGAATTTAGTAGCATTTGATACTATACACAAGCAAGGCAATGGAGAAGGAGCTGCTTGTTTTCTTATCCGAAACCCTGGATCTAATTTTGTCATATAATTTTAGACATAAGACAACATGATTGTTCATGAAATATTTATGGATATTTCAGCAACATTCGACATACCTCATTTTTATTGTTACCATAACTAATGGATATCTCTTTCACAGCATGAAAGCTGGTAAAAAAAAAAAATCAAATCTGGCAAATAGCCTGGACTTGTGGTATGTAAAAAGCGAAATCGCTTTATGTGTAACAATTATAGCTAGGCCCTTATTAATATTAATTGTACGTCTCGACCACGTAAATAATGATAGATATAAGGAGCAAGACTGAGCAAAAAGGTCAATGAAAAACAAAGTTGTAAGTCTTTCCAGTTTTCTAATTGAACCACATCCGAAAAAAGAAATTACTTACACATAGCACAATATAACTAAAAAGATAGACTTCTTGTGTAAAAGAGAATGATAAATGAATCGGCTGGAATACCAAAAAAGAGTACACAGAATAAGAAACTCCAGTGGTCTATCCATTCCCACCAACTTCCCATGTTGCTGCAGCCTTTAAGTGTAGGAAACAAATTTCAGAGAATTATATAAGATTAGCACCTATTTGCCATGTATAGGACCATAAATGAAGTCCACATAGTAAATACTTAGATTACCATAATGGCAGAAATCAAATAATTGCAAAAATCAATGGCCTACTGCAGCCACAGTAAACAGTTCAATATTTTCCTTTTCAATAATGAACTTCAAATGTTTGAACAAATGGTTGTAAACGTACCTTAACCCAAATTAAATTTGAGAGGTGTGAGGTTAAAATGAAATCGAGTCCTATCCATCAAAGTGTCCACATAATGAACTGCACCATTAGTCGACATAAGTTATGGTAATGAATGTTGAATTTGGCATAGCATTTCTGTAAAAAAAAAAATAAACATTTATGATAAAACCTTCAACTTCATCTCCAGATTTAAATTCTCCCACCCGTCTCCCTCCTTGAGAAACTTGTTCTTCAATCCTTTTTTTTTTGGTACAAAGGAATTCTTTTTCTCTATAGCATGTTACCTTGTTAGCAATCGCAACAACATCGGGATTTTCCAGCTCCCACCAACTTTAACAGCAATTGCCACCTTACCTAGAAAAGAAGAGATTTATAATCACAAATTATTAAACCCATAAACCTGTAAGGCATTATAAATTTCCCAAATATGATAAAGAATACCGAGGTACCTTTAGGCTAACGCCGGCTCTGAACCAAACACCACCAGCCACCTTCATGCTGTGTAGCTCAATGATCCATACTCGAATTCGGACTCCCCACAGTCCGGCTTTCGGTCGCTCTCATATCCTTGTTCAAATTCAGGCCTCTCCCAGCCCCTCGTATAATTACACACCAAGACTTCGTCTACAACATACTCAATTCATTTGGATTTACCAATTACCACATGAAGAACAAATGATGTAGACCCGATAGGAAAGCAGTTCAACGACGTGTGCTAATCAAGGTAGCAACACACACAATATGATGCAAAAAATAAAAATAAAAATAAAAATAATAATAAAAAATGAACAACCAATGTATAACCAATGTGAAGGTTCTTATTAAGTTTGCTTAAAAGCTCGTAATCACAAGAAACCCAGCACATAATTGCATGAACATAAGGACGAAATGTATTGAACTAACATAGATTTGTACGTAATTTCGAGAGAGTATAAGCACCTGTCTGTAGATCATGTCAAGGATGAGCAACAATAGTGTAATACCCCATTCGATTGTGGATTATTGGTGTTATTATTTATTTTCTATATTATTATTTATGCTCTTTTTTTTTTATTATTAATACTATTATTATAATTGAATTTCTATATATATATTTATTTGTCAAATTGAAATTATTTGTCTAAATGCATATTATTATTATTATTATTATTATTATTATTATTATTATTATTATTATTATTATTATTATTATTATTATTATTTTAAAATATGATGTGTATTATAAATATAGATAATCCGGATTAATTTATTACTCACCGTCGATCGAACATCTCGTGAATTCTTATATCGCGTATATTTTTATTTCGGCCCGAAGCGACTTAATTCATCGGCCTTTTGCCATTCTTTTTTCAGCCCAATGTAATTAATTTCGTGGCCCAATTCCTTATTGATTTTTGGTACAAATTGAGATGTTTATACCTTAGCCCAATTAGAAGATGATAATTCTTGGCCCATTAAAGACCAATTTGATCCGCTGCTTTCCATTCCATCGCCTAAGACCGAGTCGTCTTCTTCACCCCCCCTCCTTTTAAATAATTGTTCCGATACTTCATTGAAATCTCTTGCACGTTCTCATCCCATTTATCTCATTTATTTAAGAACCGACGAGGAACTTTTCAACTCAAAACCGTTCAAGCAGTAATCACATATTCGTGCTCTCATCTCTCTTATTCATTGTTTAGAAAAAAAGAAAAAAATCATAAACCTGCAACTTCTCCGGCGAACCTCCCACCTTTGCCTGAAGTTTCCTCATTTCAGCATCCCTCATTGTCGTCGTCGAGAGAGAAACCGAGCCCTCTATTCCAGCCGCTACCTTCCTCGCTGCAAGTTTCATATTTTTCCGACAACTGCCCCGTCCTCCATTGATTCCAGCGAGCACCTCCGAGCCGCCCCGCCTTCACCGACGTACACTTCAGCGAGCCGCAATTCGTGAGCAGTCCCCATGTTCAAGGTTTTGAGTCCCGTCGAGGCTCCGTTCGTTCCGTCTCGTTCTGACCATTTTTTCCGATTTCTCGTAAATTCCCGAAGACGGGTATCTATTTCCGAACTTTCTCATTATTTTATTCTGCTGGTACTTATTCGTTGATTCATCGTGTTCGTCAAATCGATGTCTCGTTGATTGTTTGGGTTATTCATCGTTTCTTATATGGGGTGTTGTTTGTGAATTTACGTGGATTATCGGAACTCTCGTTTATCATGTTAAATGAGTCTCGTTGCTGCTGTGAGTAATTCGTTTAATTTTGGAATCTCGTTTTATTGTTTCGAGCCTTGCCGACGTGGTTGTGTCGTTTATTATTTTTCAAGCCATACTATTGTCGGTTCGATTTTCGATTCAAAAACTCGTTTTAAA